GGTGAATTCACTGCGGGAATCAGCTGGTCTGAGGCGAGCTCATGTGGCCTGTGTTTTTCTGCTGATGTTGAAATTTTACCATTGCTCTGCTTTGCCCTTCCACCTGCAACCACCCACACAGAGACAACTAACCATTAACCTGTCTTTTTCTGTTTCACTGAGGAATTTGTTAACAATGAGTGGCCTCAGCACCCATTCCCTCTCCCCTTTCCTCAGGCTTCCAGCAACACTGACATGTAGAAAGTCACACTGCACTCGTGGAGACGTATGTGTGCTGCATTCCTTTTAACTTTTTTAAGAACTACACGTTGTTCTTTAATCTTGATATGAGTCCCTCCCTTCCTGTTATCCAACAAACAGTGTCTAATCTATAGGCTTCTAGTTAGTTTTCTGATGAAAATTACAGGTGATAGAACGACACCTTCTGCTTTAGGGACTGTGACCCTCTCCCAGGTGGACACTTGGCTCCCCCACAACCTGCTCCACCTTGATCATGGAGGTAAGAAATAACTATTCTCTAGAGAGGTCACGTCTGACTCATAAGAAATAAAAAGGAGGTAGATAATAGGAAGGGTGTGGATTTCGTTATGTCTTTTTTTTCACATTTTATTTGCAGAATTTTAATGACTAGATAGTAGCATTCCCTTTTATTTATCTACTTTCAAATTTTAATGAATACTTCTGGCTATAATTACCTCATTTCTACATTTAAAATGACTAGACACATACAGTTTGGGGTAAATTGTATCTCAGTGTGATGGTATCATATAGTATCAAGTACCGTGTAGGCATGGATTAATCAATAAACAAATTCAGTTCTCATGAGCCGCAGTTAGTTCTTTAAATTGAAGAGGAATTGACAAAAGGAGGAATAGCGTTTATTGCTTCTCTCCTAGGATAAAAATCTACCATGAATTGGTTCATTTTTCCTGTTGTTTCTTTATCATCCAGAGAAATGGCTTAATACTGTTAAGAGTGACCACTGTGAGAAGGCTTGCTCATTCTTTTTCAACAGATTTCCTTTTCTGTACCCAGCAGACACTTAACATGAAAAAAGGTGTCTCAGTGTCCCCTCAAGCCATTGATTCTGGAAAGTTCATAGAAGATTGACACCACTTCTAACAGTTACAGAAAATAAGATCATCCCCTTTCAAGGATATGGGGTCCTCATAAGATTGTGAATCTAAACTCTGAAGCTCCTTGTGTTTAGTAAGATAACAGTGGTTGCAGTAGATTCCATTTTTTGGTGCTTTGGCAGATGTTTCACCGACACCCGGTTCTGACCCTGATAGCATTGTTGCAAGATAGGGGCTAGCGTCCCCAATCCTCACAACATGGGGAAATTCGTGTTCTGACAGATCAGATCATGTACAACAACCATATAGCTCATCAAAATCTTAAACTAAAGAGGTCTGATGCTTAAACTTTATTTTCCTCCCATTCACTGCTCCCTATAAACTACTTTATTATTTATCCATATCTTTCCTTTTGAAGTAGTCACACCAGTTCCTCCTCATATTCTATTCAAGGCAAGACTCACTGCATTAAGGAAGGCAGTTGCTTGAACCTCTCCATCTATGGCTGGAGCTTAGAGAGAGGCAGGCGTGGACCTCTTGAGACGGCCCAGACACAGGTGATAGGGTCCAAGTGAGACCAGAAAGGGCAGAAGGTGAGCTGGCTAATGGACTCCCACCATCCGCCCACGGGGAACCCAGGGGGCCCAGAGGCTCAGAATTGTTAGCCAGACTAAAAGAGCATTTTCACTTATCCCAGGGGAGAGCTATTTAGCCAGGACAATTAGGCCATTTAAACTGACCATATTTTGTGTTAAAACCAAGGGAATTCCTAGTTCAGCCTACTTGGTGTTCTTAACGTTGCTGAGTAAAGACAGTGGTGAGGGAACACTGGAGTCTCCACTTGGCCGGGTGACCAGAGAAGATACCAGCAACGGGTTTCCTAAGCATCTGTGGACAGCCTATACTCATGGGAGAAGACAGTGTATAGGAAGAGGTGCACAGAGAAGGTAAAAGTCACTGAACATGAATGATGAGACTATAATAAGGTTGAAGATGGAAAGAGGAGGGTCACAGTATAGGATGAAACTGTGAACTATGGGATAGGGTAACGGTTGCTTCGATGAGGCATGTTCAGGCCACACTGGGTCAGCCACCTGGCTAGGGGCTGGGGAGAGGGACTGGGGTGAGGCTGGAGGAGGGGATGACTCCTTCCTGAATCCAGAGGGGTGCTAAGGAGTAAGCAGGGCAAAGATGGACATAGAAGAGAGTCTTTTAGGACAAAGGGGTGTATGTCCCAGCACAGTGATTTATTTACATTTACATTTAATTCAAAATAAATTTAAATTTAAATTTAGGAAGAATGACTTTTTTCATTTTCAAGGTGAACTATTTTAGGTTTTCCCACCCTCCAATCTTCCCCGCACCCCCATTGATGAAACATATCAAGTTGTTGTAGAATTTGACTTTCAAAGTCCAACCAGTGTTATTACCAGTTAATGTGCTAACCAATCTCTCAGTAAACACCCCTTTCTGTTCTCTCAATTTCCTCTGGGTGCCTCACACAGAAATGCTCTCTGCTATTCTCTCTGCTTGCTCAATGTAACCTCAGGACTCTGATGGAACCACACCCCTCTAAGAATTTTCTGTGATGCTCTACAGTCTTCTCTTCTCCTTCTCTCACCATTTTCTGGATACCAACAAAACTATACTCTAATTTCTAACTAAATCCTCTTGTTTAATGTGTTTCTGATAGTCCCAGTTCCAGTATGAGCTCTGGAGGGACAGTATTTTCATTATAGAATTCTTGATTCCCCAACATATGTGAACACAATGGGTCTACTCACACACTTACCAGCTACAGGTACGGTTTCTCACGACTAACTCCAACAATATTAGATTTTCTGCCATAAAAAAACAACACTTTGCCATGTTTGAGATCTCATTTTATCTTAACCAAATTTCCTCTCCATTTTTATTTTAACAACTCAAACTTATTAGAAGGTGCCTCTATAACAATAGAAAGGTCTCAGACTTTAGGTACTAGACTTTTCTGAAGGTTATCTGAGGTGTTTACAGAACACTTTAGAGTTTACTAAAAACTTCTGGAGTCATTTTTAATATTTTTCTATAACAGACTGAAGTTATATCATCTACCCATTTGGCGGATGAGGATGCTAAGGCATAAAAAGGAGTCAAGGGTAAGCCTACTGAACTATAGGAAAGAAAGTAGACCCAAGCTCCCTACCATCAAATTTCATGCTCATTTTGCTATAATACACTGGCTATTACTTTAAAAAATTTACTTTGAAAGTATATGTAACAGTATTTATGTAAAAGCATTAACTGAAATGTGGAAGGACAGTGCTCTGTGGAAGGACAAGCACTCACAAGGGCTGAGTGAGGAAGGGAAAAAGAAAAGATGTGTTGTCTTGAGGCACAGAGACATTTCTCATCCTTTCTCCTCATTTAAGCAGTCAAATTGTATAGCAAGATACTGTGTTTCCCTCAAGCCCTGTTCAGGCATTGCAAAAAGCTACCCATGCAGAAGCAAGAATAGTAAGGGCTCTTGTAATTTTTAAATAAGGACATGTTGACTATAAAACAGTCAAACCTGAAAGCTGAAATAACTAAAGAACATGATGCTTTCGGGCAGCCCGGGTGGCTCAGTGCTTTGGTGCTGCCTTCGGCCCAGGGTGTGATCCTGGAGACCTGGGATCAAGTCCCGCGTCAGGCTCCCTGCATGGAGCCTGCTTCTCCCTCTGCCTGTGTCTCTGCCTCTCTCTCTATCTCTCATGAATGAATAAATAAATAAAATCTTTTTTTTTTTTTAAAAAAGAACATGATGCTTTCAAGTGAAGAGGAAATCTGTGAAGAAAACTCAGGAGGAGAGTGACCAACAGTTGGCACTCAAGAGGTACCAGCTCGAGAGGACTGAGGGATTTGTTCAACAAGCTGAGCTGGAGGTAACAGCACTTTCAGGATCATTGTGCTTTCTGGTGGAGGGAGAAGGGCTGTGAGTTCTGGCTTTGTAGTTTTGTGCAGACTGCACCTGGGCAAAGCTCTGCAGATGTGGACTATGTGGTATGAGAAGGATGCATGCAGATTGGAGGGCATTTAGCCAAGGGATCCAAAAATAATTAGAAGAAGAGTGAGATTACCTTTCATGGACAGATACAAAGACCGACTGTATGTACTTACCCTAAATGACAACAGAAGGAGACCAGAAAGATAATTGAATGATCATGAAGATCAAAGGGCTAGAAGATTTGCTCTCTCTGGCACGAGGGTCTAGAATTGCAAAACCCAGACCAAATGTAGGATGCTAAAAGGCAGGTTGCTTGGCAGAAACACTGTTTAAAAAAAAATACACACACACACACACACACACACACACACAAGACTGGGAAATTATTTTCCTAGGAAGAGCTCAGAGTTGGGGAACCAATCAAAATATACTGTTAGAAACTGTCAAAATGCTTTTGGAACAGAGGAACCATTTGTGATCAGCCAAAGAGAGCTTGGAGGATCTCCTGAGATACACAGTTCATCATTGTTTACTCTGATAGTGTGGCATAAAATAAAAAGCTTGATTTATGTTGACCAATCATATGTATATTCTACAAACAGAGCCTTGAGAATAAAAATTATACCCCTAAGTTTCTTACTGCCGTGATAGGCTATACAGTACCTCCTTGGAAGAAGTTCCTAAATGAACTTCAAAGAGAACACAAGTACATTTCTGAAAGTGTGAACTCAGGGATTATCCAAGGAGAGAGAACAAGAAATCAGATTGGTGAAGAAGAAGAGCACTTTTGAGGCAGAATTTTGGCAAGTTGATCCTGTAGTTGATCTCAAGAAAAAAAGGAAACTATAAATAATTTGTACAAATATACATATTTCCATTTATTTTACACATTCATTCGTGGTACTGACAGTTGAATGATAGACAAAGGAGAAGAAACTCTCCAAGAAGTAAACCACATGCTGATGTGTGAAGGTTGACTATGGGTTAGGTAAGGTTGGGAAGAAGGCAGCATATGAGCAGAATGAGACCCAGAGAGAACAGAGTCCAGTGCGGAATTGAGTGATCCAACATGGCTACAGGGTTCAGAGAAGCAAGACACAGAAATCCAGATCTTTGTGAACCACACAGAAGCTTTGAAACCCACAAACGAGGAGAACCTTTGGAAAATTTCAAATAGAAAAAAAAATGATGTGACGATGTTGGTATTTTAGAGTCACCATCCTGGCTATTAGATGGTGGATGGATGGGGGTAAAATAAATAGAGGCAGGGAATGAGTTATGGGTTTGTTGCAGAAGTACAGAAAAGAGACAATGGCGGTCTTGACCAAGGGGATGATGGAGAATAGTGTTGGATTGGAGAGGCTGAACAGATTTGAAAACTATTGTACAGGAAGCATCCCACAACCTTGTTTTTTTTTTCTTTTTAAGATTTATTTATTTGTTTGTTTGTTTGTTTGTTTATTTATTTTATTTTGTTTTTGAGAGAGAGAGAGAACAAGTGCTGGGAGAGGGGCAGAGGGAGAAGGAAGGAATCTCAAGCAGACTCTCCATTGAATGCAGAGACCAATGTGGGGCTCAGTCTCAGGACCCTGAGATCATGGCCTGAGCCAAAACCAAGAGTCAGATGCCTAATCAACTGATTCATCCAGGTACCCCAAAACTTTGTTGTTTAACAAGACAGAGGGAGGTTGTTTTTGGGTAGAATCATTTGGACATTGAGCATATGTCACTGATGCCACTAATGAGGGAGTATTGAAATGAATAAGGATTTAGGGGTACATAAGGAGATGAAAGTAAAATCGGTTCAAAGCTTTGAGTTTGAGGGCTCTGTGAAATAGTCAAGTCTCTAGACAACCATCACATCCATGAATGGAAAGATCTGGGGTGTAGGGAGAGGCAGGACTGGAGCTACAATTCTGGAAAACGTCAGCATCTGAGTGGATAGTGCAGCCAGGGGAGCAGATGGATTACCAAGACACAATGTAAAGAGTTATTATTCTGATATTTTGAAATGCCATATGGCCAGCCCTGAGGAACATCAACAGCTAATGACTGGTGGAGAAAGACAGTCCCAGAAAGAAGAGTGAGGAGAGTATTTGGAGACACAAGAAGAAAACCAAAACCCAGTTGCATAGGTGCTGAGATGCTACCATGTGTCACGTTTTATTGATACAGAAATGAATAAGACAAGCTTAGATTATTGACCAACCCAGAGAAGACAGGAAAATTTCTGAGATGAAGTGACATGTAGGTTGTGTCTGGAAGACTGAATAGGAATTCACTGGGAAAAGAGAAATCACATCAGTCAAGAGGGGCAAAATGTGCGAAGTCACAGAATCGTGGCCCAATGTGACATGCTTGAAAAATGAGAAGTGACTGTGTGTTGCACATCCTAAAGGTTTGTGTCTGTGAGGTGGTATCTGAGAAGATATGGGACAGATGGGGATTTGAAGCAGGAGCCTGTGCTAAGAGGCTCAACGTTTTCCTTGCTAAAGATGGAGACCCTTAGAGATTTATAAGAAGGTAAGGAACACGGGTTATCTTGGTCTGGAATCATATGCTTAGTAACTGCCCTGAAAACTACAGATCTGTGCAGAAGGACTTTTTAGGAAAGAGAATCAATAGGCTTCAGATGGTAATGCAGGAGATGCAGGGGTGGGGGCTGCCTGGAGGTGGGTCACCCACGATGTCTTGGTGCATGTCTTGGGCATCTGTGTGGAAGATTCTGCTTTTCTGGGGGAAAAAAAAGAGGGTGATAGTTTTAGAGGTGGGTAAGGAGTAGTTCACTTAGGGTGAACTTAATTCTGACAATTCCCATCCAGATATATTTCCTTTAAAACAAACAAACAAAAACCCCTGGGCAGTAGTATCAGTCAGATGGCAGGAATTGAGAGGAAGTAAAGGGATAATCCAATCTTAGTGGAATTTCTATGTGACCCCCTATAGCTAGGTCAGAGATCCCAGACCATGGCCCATCCTGTGTCAGCATTATCCGTCTTCCAAGGTCTTTGGAAAGGAGGGCAACTGCCTTCCACCGAACATCCCCTGTGTTCCAGGAGCTTCACCCATGTGATCAATCAGTGTTAATGCCAACACGATGAAGTTACCCTCAGAAAGGTTAATTACTTGCTCATGGTCAGAATTTAAAAATGGCTGAGTTGAATTTCTAGCCCAACTCATGTGGTTCCCAAGGGGCTTTTCCTTTCTTTATATCAGCACTCTCTCCATCATTGATCACACTTAGAATTGAGCATTATGCTGGCAAAACAGTAGGCTGACCCCACTACTTCCTGACTTTTCAGCTTGCTGAATCGCTATGGACCAAAAGAGAGGCTAAAAGTTAGTTGAGTTGGAATCTGTATGTGCGTTACTACTCTGACAGTTCCTGCTGGCCTTGATGAAACCCCCACAAGGGTGGCTGGTGAGACTGTGTTCTGATTACCTTTAGTTTTTATCAGTGAATAAAAATCTCTCCTAGAAGCCCCTGGGGGAGAGGTAATGGTTGGGGTGGGCCATTGGCACTCCTCATCTCTCTTCCTCCATATTTATTGAGTATCTCCTAGGTGACAGATAGCTGGTAGCACCCTTCTCTTCATACTCAAGTTGACAAGGCAGTTATGTCCCTATGTTACAGATAAGAAAAATGAGGCTGAAACATGACATTTTCCAAGGTCACATCTCAATCTGGGTCTCCACAGCAGTGGGTATATATTTTTGAATAATCATTTACACGTTTGTCTCCTCCATTATGCCCTGAATGATTGACAGGAGAAAGCCCAAGCATTCCACCTCCGATCTCCAATGCTTTCTGGTGTTGGTATAGTAACACGGACAACATGCTCCCAGCTGCGCACACAACAACAACAGGCAACTCTGGTCGGGCATGTTATTCCTTGTGAAGAAGGTGGTATTATCATCCTTGCTTTTGCAAACATAGAAAGCAGGAATCTAAGAGTTAACAGACCCACCTCAGTTCACAGGGCTTGCTAAGGGTAGGCAGGGAATTAAGCCCACAATTTCTGAACCTTAACTGTAAGCGATGCACACAGATAGGATGCAGCTACCAAGATGAATAGGACCCCATGTGTACCTTCACAAAGCTCTGGTCTCTTGTCAGAAGATGAGTTGAGGGATATGTGCACCCTTTTCTGTTGCTTGTGGTAAATCTGTGAGTTCCAGTTAAAGAGTCTGCACTTTAATGTAAGAACTAACTCCTTGCTTGGGGGAAGAAAATCAAATAGGTCTGCAAAATGGTTGAGAGGCTGACTGCTTCTTAGATGGCCAATGGTTTCTCACCTGTTTGTATGTTTTTCCACCACAGCAGTGAAAAAGAAGCTAACATCCCCAACCAGAAATGGTCCCGATGGTCCTTCCAGGATGGGATGTCCTGGCCAGGGACACAGCATGATATCGCCAGCAGGAAGTAGGTAGGAATTGAGTGGTGAATATGCTAGTGTGGATTATTGCCATAATTGCTTTCTGGAAAACAACAAATTTCATTCCCAGTAAAATGCCATAAGAATTTGCCAGGTCCTCTGATGGGGAAAATAAAATGCCCTTCCTAGAAATTTCACATGCTCTGTGGTTTCTAGAGACATTCTAAAGACTGCAAAGAAAGATAACGTGGTGATGGGGTTTTGGAACCCATGTGAATTTCCCTGCCTCATCAAATGTCTGTGAATGCTTCTTAAATAGACCCTAAGCTGCTAAGTCCATGCTGGATTTTTACTCATTTCTATGAGACTAATGCCTGTGGGGTCACTCCTCTTGAGCTTCGGTCTGCCACTTACCTGAGGTCACAAAGCCCTGATTTTGTTGTCTCTAAAATGGGGCTAATTCTAGAATTTTCCCTGTAGGTTTGTCAGGAGATTTCTGTCCGTTTCTTTGGGTTCAGCACTCAGCCTTGCGCCAGGCCCACTAAAGGTTAGCAGTGATCGTGATTATAAACGTGTACAGTTTCTCTTCTTCTTTAAGTGGGTGTATTGCAACTGAGCTCTTTTACTTCAATGACTCCTTTCTTCATGCCATCACTTCCTTACTGAATTGATTGACTTCCTGTGAGTCGAGACTACTTTCCAAAGGCTGTTTTGTGCACCTGCAGAGCCCGGCAATGGCTTGAGAGTAATATCTAGCACTAGGTAAATGTCCATGGCCCTGAACTTTCTGGGAACAGGATGGGCGAGCTGAGCTAGGGGGTGTCGAAGTGTAGAGCAAGAAGACTCAACTCCTTTCTTGGGATAATTGAAATCATTTCAATTCATTTCCTTCTTGGTTGGACAGAAACATGTTTTCAATAGTGAGCAAATCTTGAGGGAATCCATTGACCTGAGCAGTCGTATAATGCGTAAAGTTAATGGACAAAAATGATATTCATCTTCAGTTTATAATAGCATTTTCTTCCACGGCACCTAAACTTAGGGGCTGCCGGGGATGCTATCCGAACAGCAACCGTAGCACGGGCAGATGCATGACCTTTGTTGTATCTAACAATTATTGGATCTATGGCGAAATAAAATAAAAACCAACACAAGTTTTGACACTAAGATAATAAATTATAAATTATGGAAGTCTACGGCACCGAGGATCTTGTAAACAACAGGCTGGTCTCTTAGCAACAGACCAAGGAGAGCAGGTTGTTGATGGGAATGGAGCAGACAAGAATGTTTTGCAGTGATTGCTATGGAGGACCAGAAACAACATTTTAACACCTGCCCCAGGCCTATTCTCTGCCTAGCCCTTCTTTCTCCAGTGGCCAGCCCTGGCCGTGGGCCAAAGGGTGTCCCAGGACTTAGGAGCCCCGTCACCGACAAACCCAGGTGCTCGGCCCCACAGAGAGGACAAAGAAGATACAGGCAGTGGGAGTCAGGGGGTGGGGTGATGATGCCCCCCATGAACATGATAGAATTAGACAGGGGGAGAAGGAATCAGTAAATGCATCCTCGTTTGACATTGTCTGAAATGATAACTCTAAACGGGGGACTCCTTTCACTCCCCACCCCCAACTCCTGTTGGCTTTCAAAATCTCACTTAGGGTGGTTGTCATGAAGGAATTTAGACAAGACTTTGACAATGTGCCAAAATGGTTTATTTTTAAATGTTGTTCCCGAAAGCACCAGAATATTAAGTTGGAGCAAATGTTGCTTAGAAGAGTGGAGGGGTTGTGGTCGTATAGACATTTGAAGGGAGTGTGTCGGTTTAAGGTTTGTAGAATTAATGCAGACAGTTGGGTGAGAGGACCTGATGACCTGAGGAATTTTTAAAATTGTGTGTCTGTGTGTGTGTGTGTGTGTGTGTGTGTGTGTTTCTCAATTGAAGGATATTGACAAGGTCGGAGTGGAGGGAGAGGTTTTCTTTAATTAATTAGATGTTTACCTTGAGTATCCTCCCTCAGTGGTTTAGACAGTCACCTGCCCACATGGTAGGAATGAGTCTCTTGGAGTGGAATCTTCCTAGAAAAATCCTAGGAATCGCAGTAGCAAACGGCCTCTCACTCTGTGAAAGAAACAGTAAGTTCTGCGTAATCCAAACCACTAGGCGAGTGACATGCCATGCCAACTTAGGATTTTAAGAAAATATCAACCCCCTAGTTGTACGTGGGCCAAAGGACCTGCATCTCCCTCCAAAGCACTGACTCTGTGCATTGCATTGTCTCATAATGAAAGTGGCTGGCTAAATTATGACGACTTTGGATTTATTTGGCATGTCATTTTAAACTTTTCATATGTCTAAATTTGCCATTCGCAAAGGAAGAAAATTCTCTGTCATTCCCCAGAGTCTCATTTTTTTTCAGGCTCCTCTGATACCATGAAAGGTGGCTCAGTGACTTCCGAAGTGATTAGCTCCCATCCAGAGATTTTAGAATGTATTTGTGCTTAGGAGCTGTCTGCCGGGATGAAATTCTACCAGGGGTAGTGGCCCTGGCCCCGTGGGGGAGGGACTGTGGCTTTGCACGACGCCATTCGAAGCCACCTGGGTATGAGCCCCTTCACATATGGGTCCCACAGCAGCTCCAGCAGTGAAGGCCCCACCATGCCATTCTGCAGGTGGACCAATGTCAGCTAACTTTCCTGAGCTCAGTGCTGGAACCCAGATTCTATTCCAGGATGGACTGAGTTCAAAGTTCGTGTTCTGGGGCACCTGGGTGGCCGTTGGGCCTCTGCCTTCAGCTCAGGTCATGATCTCAGGGTCCTGGGATCGAGCCCCACATTGGGCTCCCTGCTCAGCGGCAAGTCTGCTTCTCCCTCTTCCTCTTCCTCTATGATCTCTCTTGCTCTTGCTCTCTCTCAAATAATTAAAAGAAAAAAGTTAATGTTCTCTTTACACAGTGGTCTACCCTAAGAACAGGTCATTGCCAGGCTCCCTATACAAGGCAGTCTTGCTTTTTCTTCCTCTTATTTTTTTTTTATTACAAAAGAAATATATCACCACACACGATCATGAAAAATCAATATATTTTTCATGCCATATAAGATTAAATGGCAAAACCTTCTTTCATCCTCCACTTGGCCCCTGGAACATATCCACACACACCCCCCCAAGTATCTTAGCAGCTCTTTTTAGACCTGGATTTTCACTCTCTGCAGGGGAATGTTTCTGTACAGAAAGAATGAGCCCTTTTGCCTCTTTAATTTTTCCATAGTTGGTGCATTTTGAGGAAATACCATGTAATCTGCATCTTTGCCGTGCTTTTGTTTTACTTAGCTTTCTTCATATTGAGGAGAACACTGAGCTCTCTGAACCACCCCCAGCCTTCTCGCCGGCTCTGAATCACCAAGCCCAGCAACCCCGAATGCATGAGTGTTAGAGTCTGAATTCGTAACTGAGCACAGAAGCACTTCCAGCAAGTTCTGATCTCGGCAGAATGAATTCTCCCCCTTCCCAGTTGGATCGGAAACCCGCATCATCACAGGCTCCCCCAAGTGATGTGAGTGCACAATAGGGTCTGGGGAAACCCTATGCCACACTCTACTTCTGCGGAGAGAAGACACAGACCACTTGTGGAGGCATCGAGGGAGCTCAGCCTTGCAGTGGAGGCTCCTGGAACTCCCCGGGAACCCGGCAGGAGACAGCTGTCAGCACCCACCCAGCTGCCGAAAGGAAGCCGGGGACCCTTCCTCCTCTAAAGAGGCCCAATTTCAACGACATTACAGTGAAGGCTGTTGGGACAGTCTCCCACCTAGTGCTTTGGAGCCCTGACCCACCTCCGAGGTGACCTCACCATCCTGCCTGGCACCGGGAAGGGTCAGGGACCCGGCTGGGCAGGCGGCGAGACCCGGCTGGCTTCCTGGCCCACTGGCTCCCGTGCAGGGGGTCGCGGGGGGGTCCCCGATTCTGCCCAGAGCCTTTCCCCTCGCGAGCTCACGTTCCTGCAGCACCTCCCGGCTCCGGCCCCACAATGCAGCGCTCGGCTGGCAGCGGTTCAGCTGAACACTAAACACTTGGCTCCGTTTCAACACGGCTGCCAAGATTTGGCAAGCAGAGAGTTGCAGGGAAGCAGCAGGCTGCTAAACCCTTTCACATTTTTAATTAGATCCACACACCCATGTCTTTGAGCTATCATAAATATACAGATGACATCGAGAGCATTATTCGGGGTTAAAAAAAAGGGGGGGGGGAGAGCAAACTCTATACAATGGTACCGCTTCCCTTCTTAGAATGATTTACTTCTTGTTAGTTTGGGGGCTAAAGGCAAAGAGAGGGGAGTGATATTTGCTTCGGCACAACGGTGTCTGATAGCAGATCTCCCCAGGATCTGGAAAGCTCGGGTCTCAGGCCTCCTCGCTGCTGTCCGGGGCTGCATGAACATTCACCAGAAGAGGGCATTCTTGGCGGCAGCTTGGCCTCCTGCAGCCGGAACTCACAGGGTGGAGTGTTTGAGGAGTGGCTGCTAAAGCCACCCCCACCCCCTTCTCTGGGTGACAGCCTTACCATCCCACAGAGCCATGAGCTTGGCTCCTCTGCCCTAAAAAGTAGTCACTTTTGCATTCAACGTTGCTTTAATACTTTGTCACTGTATCTCCTCTGGTTTGTCTGCTGGCATCCTTCACTGTAAAATAATTACTGCTGCTCCTTCTTTTTTTCTAAACCTCCTGCCACAACAAACACACTCAGCTCCTTGTGCTCAGAACCACCCTCCCCGCCTCGCTCAGCTTCTGGGTGAGTCTGAGGTGGGGGAGGGATGGGAAATGCAAATCTTGAGTCCGATGGTCCTGGCTCCCACCCTGGTTCTGCCGTGTGGCCTCGGCCACACGATTCCAGAGACTCTCTCGCGGGTCCCTTCATCTGAACGATGGTGAGTCAGCTCTGACCTCACAGATTGCATGTGGGCCTTAAATGACCTCACGCGTGAGCGAGGCCTGTGGCACAGCTGGTGGCACCCCATCACTATGGTTACAGGGACTGTGACCCCGGAACACATGCCTGTCCCAGGGTCAGTGGACCGCAACAATGGTCATGTTGGTTCTTCATGGGATTCCTGGCCCGTGTCCTGTGGCTCCTCTCCTTTGTGACCAAGACCCCTCTGCTTCCCAGACAACCAGTTCCTGTGAGAGTCACTTGCTGTGGGCCACTGGCGAAACAGGGTTCAACTTCCAGGCCTCTGCATCGGTGTGCATGTCCTTAATAGTAAAGACATGTAAAGAAGGAAATGAAACACTTGACGTGCCAGGAAAGAAGTCTCTCTCATTGTCCCATGTGAGAGTACAAAATTTATAAATAGAAGCATCCCAAGCATCAAACACGAAGGCAGCAAACCCACAGGCACGTTGGCCTCTCTTTCTCCCCGACTCTGCGCACCATCCGGTCCCTTCTAGAGAAGACTGGAGTCTGCTGTGGGCACCCTTACACCTTCTACCTTGTCCTGCTTTGATTTTCTCTTTTCCGTCCAGCTTGAAAATAGATTATACTTGACTGCGGCAACATTTCCTTTGTGCTTTTTCTGCAAACAAGACAGCCAGACCAGTGAGATGCCCGGGTCCATTGAAATGGGATGCAGATCATTCTAGGCCCAAAGTGTACCTTTCAGTAGATGCAAGCACTGAGACAGTGGCTGGTGGGCCTCAGCATTCTCATGTTCCCCACCATCCCTCGTCCCATCTGTGCCCCCACACTGTCCAGTGATAGGGACTTCCCTTTAATTAGGAGATGAAGAAGGATACAAGCACACACACAACAAAAACCGAACCATGGCACCTGGAAATGAAGAGGAGAGTGATCACCTCCACCACTGCAGAAGGCAGAGGGACGTGGAACCAGTCAAGCTCCGATGGGGATGTATCGGTGCTCATCAGTAGTTATGGACACGGAAGAAGCAGTTAATCACAAGAGTAAAACAAGGTATAACCTGGATAACAGTCTTCCTGGAGCAAAAGGTGTCAGGCTAAAGTCAGTCCTGGTTCCTGAGATCTTGCTGGCTGACCCCCATGTGTCATCCCCACCCATGAGTTGAGGACACCGGGACACACTGACCCTTCCGGTGCCTTCTGTGACCTGGGAATGGTAGGGTGCATGAAAGAATACATGCATTTAATGTCTTGATTTTATCTTTTTTAAGTAAACTCTATACCCACCTTGAGGCTCCAACTCATGATGCTGAGATGAAGAGTCCTATGCTTTCCTGACTGAGCCAGCCAGGCATTCATTCCCTGTATGTAATGTTTTTAAGGCCATGTTCGTCTACTGAGACTGCTAGAACATGGTGCCACAGACTGGGTGGCTTAAGCAATGGAAATTCATTTTCTACCCGTTATGGAGTCTAGAAGGTCAAGAGCAAGGTTCCGGTCAATTCGGTTTCTCTTGCAAGTGCTCTTCTGATGTGCAGGTGACCAGCCTCTCACTTTGTCCTCTGTGGCTTTTCTTTGGGTACAAGCATGAGGAGGGAGGGAGAGAGACATCAAGAAGGAGAGACAGAAAGCTTTCTGGACTTTCTTCTTGTAAGAATGGTGAGTCATACCTCTTCCCTTATGGCCTTTTATAACATTGATTACTTCTGTTGGGACCCTATCTCCGATTAGAGCTCTACCGGGTCTAGGGTTTCAACATGTGAATTTTGTGGAGACGTGTGCCTTTAGTCCACAATAAAAGTGTTTCATGTGCTGTTGGAAGGACATGGGGTCACACTGGGATTTGACTCTCACTCCAGCACCTACTAGCTGTGTGGTCTTATGCAAGCCAGTTAACCTCTCTGAGGCTTGTTTTTCACATTTGAAAAACAGGGATAAAAAAAAACACACACACACAAAAAAAAACACCTCTCCCAGAGTGTGATGACAAAGAATAGAAGAAATAATGCACTCCAAAATCACAAGCAGCTAGGGTGGGCCCTGGTTGATATTATTTTTTATCAACACCGCCCACAGAGCCCATCCAAAGTGCTGGCTCTGCATCACAAATGTTCTGTCCTGATGCTTGCATCTCCTAGTCTTTAGCAGCAATGCTTCCCGGGGTCACCATGGCAAACAGGAAATATAACAGAATGTCACAGTGGCTTCCAAGGGCTCCAGAGGAAATCAGTGCTCCTTTCCATGGCAATGACTCTCCATGTCAATAATCACTTTATCATTAGAGCATTTTGTATTAGGCATTGACACAGTTAAAACATTAACACAATCATGATTACCTTGGTTGAAACTCCTGCCTAAAGCAAATGTCCTGCAGGAAAAAGAAACAAAACTATTTTCTAGATGCAGAGTCTAGAGTTAAGGGATCCAAGATCCCACTGCCAAAAAGTGATAGAACATGGGTCCAAACAAAGAATGATGGAATCCCAAAGGCTACACACCCCAGGCTTCACCATCCTGCCTTGAGCAGCAATCAGAACAACAATGCTGAAAACCAACCATCCCAGCCTTGTGCCTGCGACACTAAGCTTTTATTCTCATGCTCATTGTTCTCAGATTTGCTGTGGTTGGTGTATGAGCTGGACTTGGTTCATCTCGACAGCTCGGCTGCATGTTGTGTATTGGCTGGGTGAGGTTTTTGGCTGCAGATGGGATTCATGTCCACCCAATACAGGCTTTCTCTTGGTCCTAGGCTGAAGGAGGGGTGGCCACCCCAACTACACTGAGACATAAATCCAAAGAAGAGAAAGCACATGTAAGGTGTCTGATTGCATCGTGTCAATGGCATTCCAGTGGCTAAGCCAAGTCATGGCCAAACCCAACATCAAAGAGAAGGAAGTAAGCTACATGCACAGTGGTATGGGTGGGGTCGGGAGAGAGTGAAATTTAGCTGAACGATCATCCAAACTAGTAGGAGTATCCTGAAAAAATGACAGACAAAAAAACCCTCTGTGATCAGAGGGTTGCTCATCCTCTCTAAGGCCTTTCTAGTGGTTTAAAGCCAGCATCCATTCTGTTTGGTTAAGTGTCATTTCTGCTGGATCAGTGGCCAAGCTTTACTGACTTCAAAATACTTTGACTATCACCCTTGACTATTAGTATCCAAACCACTAACTTCCTAGGACCTGCAATCTCCAGCAACACTGAACCTCGTCATTCTGAAGGCAGAGCCTTGCCCTTCTACAACAGGGAAGTGGACACAGTTTTCAGAGCTGAGAAGATGAGGGTGATCATAACAGCTATAACACTTTCTAAAAGTGTGACTTTGGCCAAATGGCATGATCTATGTGAATCTCAGCTCCAAGGATGTTCACAGGCTGCTATAAAAGGTGAACTATTTGATTCATTCACTATGTTAACACAGGGCCTAACTTAGAGCATGCACTCACTAAGTGATTGTTCTCTGCCTTTCATCTGACTATTACAATGAAATTTATGGAATTGTCAAGAATAATCAAGTGCTGGCAATTTCAAGTAACCTGACATAATAGATTATAAGACTCTTATGGGCAAATGTGATGTTTCCTTTAACTGTATTCCCTACCATCCTGATTATTGAGTGAATGTTGAGTGTTGGAGCAGAACACATACTCACAGTGTTTTTTCCCAGTGGTGAGGATGGAATGGAGATTGTAGGGAGGTACAGATGGAGGGGGATGGACAAATGAATCAACTACTTTTCACTTGCCTTCACCAAAATGGCAAGTGCCAAATGCTGGCAATGGTGTAAAGTGGGGATGGGCAAAGGCACAAGTTTGGGGGCTGCTGGAGAAAATCCGTACCCATTTCATAGTGTGGGGAAAAGATTGTGTGTTTTGGAATCGAGCAGCTAGGGAGGTTATAACCTCAGCTCTTCCAAAACAAGTATGAAATCTCAGGCAAGTGACTAATTTCTCTGAGCTTGTCAGCTATAGAAACTGGAATACTGCAGACATCATGGACTTAAGAACATTGACAGGGAGCCCACTTCCTAAGTAGAGCTCAGCTCTCTCAGTGACCCATCATCATCCTAGCTTTGCTCCAGGCCAATTCTGAGGT